TGGCAGCAATCGGGCCAATTTCTTATTTTCCAACAAGATAAAAATCAAAACCACATCATTGAGGCAAATAACAAATCTTTCAGGATCATGCTTACCCAATTTGGCTGTTTATTTTAATCAAATCACAAACTAATGCTCAAATTTGGATTGGATTATGTGCCTATAAAGATAACCAAGGATCCAACGTAAGTGACTGTCAGTCAAAGCCTTTTCAGACAAAGCTAGCATTACAACATGCCAATTACATTTTTATCAGGTAGTTAAGATAATTACCTGTGGTAAATGTGTTAGCGGGACAAGTATAGATTGCTGTAAACATTTGCTGACCACTTTAAAATGCTGCCCGACCGTATGGGAGGAATCAAGGGTACAATAGTATGCAGATGTATTTACACCAGCTGATGTCATATAAAATCCAATAAAGTTTTTCCACCCAAAGCCTGTGTGTCCTTTTGCCACCACAAGATGGCTCTGTACCGTTTCTTCTCGGAAGCAACATGGGCTCCAGAGCCAATTCCTCTTTGTGAAGCATCACAAGCCCTTGGGTGGGCTATCATCAAAACTGGACAGGCATCTTGAACCAGTGACTTCAGCCCCCTTCCTGGGCCAGTGAAGCCTCCTCGTCCCTCCCACTCTTTCAAGTCTCTGATGCCCTGGGCTTTCTTCCAAATGCTGGATCCATGTGTCATCAGCCTCCAAATGAGGGTGCATTGCCTGACATTCTCCCCCACATGCAATGCTGGTGAAACTGTATACAATTTTTAATATGCGACTTATCCCTTTGGCTCTTTGTGTTAAGATGATTCTTTTCCCAACCCCCCAAACTTAATGTGATTCAATTCTTGCTTTGTCAGGAATGTTAGCCGCATCCCCATTCCTTCATCTCCTATTCCTAGATGGTACCAACTCCTGCTGGTCCTTTTTAAAGGAAGTCTGGGCATTTATTTCATTATCTCCAAAGCATCTTCTTTTTCTCTCAGCCTATGAGCCTCCAAAATGGTTTTACTGCATTTGATTGTTCTGAGTGTTTACCATGTATGAACTCATTAGGCTTCTTGACTCTGCTGAATCAGTTACCAGCCAAATTTCTGCTTTGCAGCATCCAAAATTTTCTTGCTACAATCTTGTCTCTTCTTCTTTCGTCCTTCTGGGATAATACGCTTTTTGGGAAAATGTCCATTCAGTCTTTTTATTAGGGTTTCAGAAGCAGGCCATCAATGCTCATACTTCATCCACAATCTTAATTAAGAAGCCCAAAGTGAGCCCTCTGCATGTAGGTGCTCATGTCCTTATGTACTTATCACAATAACCGTGTACTGTTAATGTCCCCATTTTTCAGATGAGAAGACTGAGGCACAGAAGAGTCAAATAACTTGCTCAAGTCCACACAGCTAGGAAGTGGAGAGGGAGCTAGAACTAACTCCAGGCAGCCTAACTTCAGCATTATGTCTGGAAGAAATAGAAGAACCGACTGACAGGCTGTTTAAGAATTGGTCAGACCCCAGGTACACTGAGGGTGTGCTCGTGCGTGTACAGGCATGCGTGCATGTGCCCGCACACACTGTACCCCATTGGGTACACCCCATTGGTGAGGGAAGAATCCGGCCAGTATGTGATAGCTGAACACATGACACTTGACACTGGACACGTGGGGTGATGGCAGTTGGTTTGTCACCTACAGTCACTGCATGGGGGAGGAAGACACAGCATGCCATGAAGGGCCGCACAGCGGTGCCCCCTGGTTCCCATGGCAGGATATGATTGGTTTGTTTTATTCATGGGCTGGCAAGGAGGTGAAGTTAGGTTGAGGGCTGGGTGGAGTGCAGCGGGGCCGGCTTACAAGGGATCTAGTCGGGTGGGGTGTCCTTCTTTCTGGAGAACATATCTGGTCAGAGTAGGGGAACTTACAGTTAGGTCTTTGGGGCCCTGTGAGGCTCGGAGATGTCAAAGCAGCACATAAAATTTTAGGTATTACAACACGCACACACACACACACACACAATCCTTGCTGTGCACAGTTTCCCCTTGCCTCTTCCCATCAGAAGCTGAGAGTTATTCCCAGTGAAGAGGGTAAAACAGGAGGTTTCTGGATTGGTGGGGATCTAGCACAGTGGAAGGTAGGGAAGACGGAGAGAAAATGTATCTAACAAACGGGGAGATTCCCAGTCTCGTCCTCTGCAAAGCTTCTGGGATTCTAGCAGCCAGAAGCATACCATCAGCAGAAATCTGGCACGCGTAACCAGCCTGAGAGAAAAGCCCTCGCACCACTGGGGTTCCCAGTGACATGGTGCAGTTCTCAGTCAGCACCCATGGGCACCGAGATGCAACGGGTCTTGAATGAAATTTGAGCGGGCAGCCAAGGGTCGCCACGCAGCTGAAGAAACTCTGTAACATAAGACAAGGCTCAACAGAAAGGGAAAAAAGCAGAGTACAGACACTGGAATCTAGGCAGGGAGGTGAAGATTTCAAAACCACCATCATTAATATCCTCAAATAGAGAAGAGAAGATACCAGATGCATGAAACAGGAACAGGATGCTGCGTTTCTTTGTGTGTGTGTGTGTGTGTGTGTTTTAACAAACCCAGAGAACAAATTTAAAAAATTTTAAAACTTGATAGCAGAAGATATAAAAACATACAGATAGTGTAGAATATTAAGAAAACTCAATAGATAGTTTAGAAAATAAAGGTAGGGAAATCTTCAGAAAATAGAGCAAAAAGCAGAAGAAATGAAAAATAGAAATGAAAAGGTGAGCAATGAGGGCATTGGAGGGCATCATCTAAGAGGCAGTTAAGGAGAGGGGCGCCTGGGTGGCTCAGCTGGTTAAGCGTCTGCCTTCAGCTCAGGTCATGATCTCAGGGTCCTGGGATCGAGTCCCGCACCAGGCTCCCTGCTCAGAGGAGAGCCTGCTTCTCCCTCTCCCACTCCCTCGCTTGTGCTCTCTCTCTGTCTCTCTGTCAAATAAATAAAGTAAAAAAAAAAAAAAAAACCTTAAAAAAAAAGCAGTTAAGGAGAATCTTCCGACTATAGGACAAAGGTTTCCAGAACATGTGAGCCCACTCTGCCTGGTCCAGTGGTCAAGTAGACCACACCAAGATGTAGCACTGCATATCCCTGGGAAATCTCAGGACAGCAAGGAGACGGAGAGGATGCTGAAAGCTTCTCGAGTCCTCGAGGAAAAAACAAAATCAATTCATAGAGGAGATCTCTATATAGATCTAGATGACATATAATATATAAAGGATCAGGAATCAAAATGTCTTCAGACTTTCTAGCACAATGCTAGAGGTGAGAAGTAAATGAAGCCATGTCTTCAAAATCCTGAGGAAAAAACATTTCAAACTTGGAATTCTATATTCAGCCAAACAATATAGTGGGAGGGTAGACAAAAGATCTTTTTTTAAAGATTTTATTCATTTATTTAACAGAGAGACACAGTGGGAGAGGGAACACAAGCAGGGGGACTGGGAGAGGGAGAAGCAGGCTTCCCGCGGAGCGGGGAACCCTATGTGGGGCTCGATCCCCGGACCCTGGGATCATGACCTGAGCTGAAGGCAGACGCTCAACGACTGAGCCACCCAGGTGCTCCAGACAATACTTCCAGAGTACGGGCACCTGGGTGGCTCAGTTGGTTAAGCTGCCTTCGCCTCAGGTCATGATCCCGGAGTCCAGGGATCGAGTCCCACATCAGGCTCCCTGCTCAGCAAGGAGCCTGCTTCTCCCTCTGACCCTACCCCCTCTCATGTACTCTCTCTCTCTCATTCTCGGTCTCTCAAATAAATAAATAAATAAATAAATAAATAAATAAATAAATAAATACTTCCTGAGTACTCTTTCCTAGGAAGCTACAGAGTGATCCACCAGGATGACAAGCAAACCAAGAAGGAAGACAACTTGGCTCCGGGGGACAAAGAGGGGTGAAGGGAGCCCCATGGATGACGAAGAGAAGGGACCCAGGACGATGGCCCTATAGCAGGTCCTGGGAGCAGCCAGTGTAGACGAGAGCAGGTTGCAAGTAGTCTGGGAGAAATTTCTCCGAGGAGGTAAACCTGACCGAATACCCGAGGTGCTTGAGCACATTGAGAGGACATTTTGATAACTGGGGGGCAGTTTAAGTTGGATTAGATGTAAGTACATAAGACACAAAAGATGAGGTACACCAAAAAAACCAGACAGTCTTTAAATTCTGGATAAAATTAAAAGCTTTGCAAGAAGGAAAGACAAATCAGTTTACCACCTGGGTCCGCCGTTCATCGCATTGATACAATCATGTTAGTATAAATCCCAAAGACTGGTCTAACTAAAGTTCCCACTCAAACCCAGCAGTAAGACGTGGTGGCTGAGAGCCAGACCGCCCACCTAATCCGTAACCCCCGCTTATTAGCCATGTGGTTGGGCCACTTGCTTAACCATTCTGACTCAGTTTCCTTATGGGTAAAATGAGGATCATAGCAGAACCTAGGGTTTGGGGGAGTATTAAATGAATTATACATGTGAAATGGGTAGAACAATGCCTGGCGCGTAATAAGTTCTGTATAAGAATAACCTAGTGTTTTATAACCGTTTAGGAGTGTGGAAGAAGTATGTGCACACATGTGCATGTTATGTATTCATCTCCATATTGTTTGGGAAAATCAATAGAAAAGGATACAACACTGTAAATATGTGATTCGGGGATGGAAGTGAACATATCAAAAAAAAAAAAAAGCTAAGATGAACATAGAATAGTTGCTTCTGAAGAAGAAGAAATTGGAGGGAGCCTCGGGTGAAGGTGGGAAAGGCAGAGGTATGTTGTTTTTCGTAATAAGCCTTGTCAAATGATTTGACTCTCGGTTCCCCAGAAGCAGACCCTGAGACAAGGATTTGTGGGCAGGATTTAGCAAGGAAGCACTCCCAGGGGAGGGCCGGACTCAGGCTGACCCTGCTGCAGGCAAGGTTGCTGGGCCCGGCCTCTCCCACACCTCTGGCTGGGGGCCAGGCGCTCCCACACGCCTTCAGGCATGCCGCCTCTGGAGAGGGTCCTGGATGCCGGCCCCCAGAAGGCTGGTGTCAGGCCTCAGAAATGTAAAGGGACCTGGGTGGTGGCTTTAGATAGCTAAAGGTCCTAAAAATAGAGTTCAAAACTCTCCAGTTTGTATCTCCAGCCAGACTCTTCCAGACCTCACTGGGTTGGGCAATAAACCCAATTTGTTCAACTACAGGGACTCTTAGAGGTCTGTGGCTGGAGGGTGCTCAGATAGCCTTCCAGGGGATTTTTTTTCCCCAGGTACCTAAGTACCTCAGGGTGTACGTTTAAGCATGGGATGGAGTTCTTCCTTGAACCCCTGAAATCCCTCCACATAGACCCCACACCTGCCTTGTCAGTCTCAATGCTATGCTGCTCAAGAAATATAGCATTATTTACTGTCATCCCCCACAAAGCAATTTATTTTATTTTTTTATTCAAATTCAATTAATTAACATATAATGTATTATTTGTTTAAGGGTATAGGTCTGTGATTCATCAGTCTTATATAATACCCAATGCTTATTACATCACATACCCTCTCCAATGCCCATCACCACGTTACCCCATCCCCCATCCCCCTCCCCTCCAGCAACCCTCAGTTTGTTTCCTATGATTAAGGATCTCTTATGGTTTTTCTCCCTCTCTGGTTTCATCTTGTTTCATTTTTTCTTCTCTTCCCCTATGATCCTCTGTCTTGTTTTTAAATTCCACCTATCAGTGAGATCATATATGATAACTGTCTTTCTCTGGTTGACTTATTTCGCTTAGCATAACACCCTCTAGTTCCAACCATGTCGTTGCAAATGGCAAGATTTCATTCTTTTTGATGGCTGAGTAATATTCCATTATATATATATATATATATATACACATATATATATATACACACACCACATCTTCTTTATCCATTCATCTGTTGATGGACATCTGGGCTCTTTCCATAGTTTGGCTATTGTGGACATTGCTGCTATAAACACTGGGGTGCAGGTGCCCCTTCGGATCACTACATTTGTATCTTTCCCCCAAAGCAATTTAGATAGAAACAATAGTGTTTAAGTAAATTTTAGTACAATTATAATATTCAAACAGAATTTTTTGGCAAATACAACCAGCAACAAAAGATCACTAAAGATTCTTAATTGCTCAAAATAACTTTGAAAGAAAAAAACCAGTCCTTCAGTTTTCTCCAGAGGACACTGCCCTACATTTCTTCCAGATTTACATACTTCCATTGATTGCTAAATGGAAGCTTAATAAAGAGTTTGTATGTGATGACATGATTGAAATTCACAGAAAATCTTTTTTTTTCAGCAATACTGCTGTAAACAAGCGGGCATTTCACACTCATGTTTTTATATTTTTTACCACCAAAATGGCACTAGCCCAGGCATCCTGGTGGTCAGTGGGAAGGCTCTGTGGGACACACCCCAGCATCATGTGGGGCTGGCACAACATCTCACAGAGAGACTCCCAATAAATATCTGAAGGAACCAACCTGAAGCCATTACATGCAGGCTCCCTCCCTTTATCACAGGTACCATAAACACATGTCGCTCTGTGGTAACTGCACCATAATAAATGGTAAATCGCTGTGGGAGGTGGATAAGCAAGCCACTGGTTTATGGACAAGATTTATTGTCATAAATGATCACACAGGAGAACACATTCCCTTCTAAATTGACAGTGCTTCCCCTCCTGGGCTGTCCACCCTTTGGGATGTTGGAGGACCCCACTGAGCTGGAGACAACCCATTCAAAATCATCACTAACTCTAGGATTTAAAATGATGACAATAACCACAACAAATCAACCGAAAGATCTAAAATTCCAAACCAAGTTGCTGGCTCCGTTTCGTTTTAGCTGCCTTAAGCGTTACTTATGAAAAATCTTTTTCTACTCACCTTCTGGAGCAGGAATTCTTTCTTTCTTTTTTTTTTTTTCTTTCTTAGAGAGAGAGTGTGTGCACACAGGGGGAAGGTGGAGCAGAGAGAGTGGGAGGGAGAGAATCTTGAGCAGGATTTACGCCCAGCATAGAGACCATCACTGGGGCTCGATCTCACAACGCTGAGATCATGCATGAGCCGAAACCAAGAGTCCGATGCTTAGCTGACTGAGCCACCCAGGCAGCCCTGGAGCAGGAATTCTTAACATGGGGTCCAAATCCATGAGATTGTTGGGCAGTTTTTTTTGCTTACATGTGTATTTTCTGGGGAGAGGACCCTGGAGATGACCTCCCAGTTGTAGCGGTAGGCAGGAGAGTGACAAAGGGAGAGCTTTTGGTGTGCAATGCAATATTTTTTTTTTGTACATTTGGTAGAGGAAATACCTCCATTGGGGAAGGAATGACAAAAGGCTGGGAAAACAGAAAAGTCAAACAGAAAAAGAAAAGAAAAGAAAAGTCAAACAGAACTGTTTCATCGGCTCTAGCTGCAAACAGATGAAGGCATTTCTCCTTTTATACAGGGGCAGGGGCCTAGATAAGAGGGGCAGCAGCTGCTCTTATACCTGCTCAAATCCCTGGTTTGGGAAGATTAACATTTAAGACCAGCTATTTTCTCTTCTCCCTAGGTAAGTGAACATTAATAGAGGTCCCTTTGAGATTCTGGGCCAAGTTTATACCATCACAGACACTGGAATATTGGTTTTCCAGGATGCATCCTGCACATTCTCAAACACTCCTTGGGAACATTCCCAAATGTTCCAAGGAGTACAGAGACCCTCCCCTTCCCACCCCGATGTGCACAACCTTCCACCTGAAGAGAGATGGCTCCCATCTCCAAAGCTGGCCCAGAGACCAGGGAGAAGGGATGGAGTGAGATCAACCCCATGCTTTTATCATTGACTTTTGTCTTGTACTGCTGGTCAGATCAACATAGCAGCTGGGAATCCCTTGAATATGAACTTTAGAATAAGACAAGCCCAATAGTTTGAAAGGTCCAAGAGAGAAAGAACCTGCCTCCACTTTAAAACCCTACTCCTCAGAGGCTGGAGGCCACGAGGCCATGAGGCTTCCTCATCCTCTGTAGGAGGGCTGCTTTGGAGAAGATACCTTGTCATATCATTGTTCTAGTGATGTCTTGAGTCTGCAGAATTTGGGGCTTTATGATTGAGGGCACTTCCAGGTAAAGCATCTGCAGTTGGCCAACTTCATTTACCCATCTGTCCTCCATTCCTCTTCTTTCTTTAATTAACCCAATCATGCAGCAGCTATTCAGAAAGGGCTGTATAACAGGCACCCCTTGGCATTTTTAGCAACTGGATTATAGAATTTCCCTTTGCCAAGGTCTCACCAGGAAGAAGGACTTAGTGATGTAAAAAGAAAAGAGGCCATCAGATCTGCATGTGACTCATATGGCCAGGGTGAAGAGGCAGTGGCGTTTATGGAAGGTCGGATAGGCTGGACGTCATTGTTCACATACCCCAGTGAATCTAAGGAAAGTGCCAGTCATGACCCCACAGTGGAGGAAATAAAAACACAAGATCTTGAGTTCAGAAACACAAGAGAGAGCCTGGAGCGCTGGCCTCAGACAGAGTACCGTACCCACAGCTGTGCCCAACTATCTCGGCTGTTCCCCATCTCTGTAATGGGGCTGCTCTAGCCCCTGGAACCTCGCTTTCCAGGGAGATTTAATCAATCTTTTTTGAGTAAATGAATGTCACAAAGAATATTTTAAAAGTTGCCACCTGCTCTGTGCCGAGGTAAGAGGTACAAACGATTCTCCAGCCTCAAGAAGGGTGCAGGTGTCACTCTAAAATGTAGGTGATAAATAAACATCTCCACTATTAGTAAAAGGGATATTTGACAGGACTGTATGGAACCCACGGGTGTGGGGACAAGAAAAGGTCACACAGTGTGAGGACCGCAGGCATGAATGGGCAGGCATGCGGCCATTAGACTGCCTGCTGATGCAGAACCCTGGGGACAGGGAGCTTCTGCACTGGTGAGTTCGAATAACAATGTCTGCCTCACCAGCATAGGGGAAGGATGAAAGAGATAGTGTATTTAGAGTTTTGCAGAGTTTTTGACCATTTCTATGGGTCAAAAATTGACCTCAGTGATTGAGAAGGAAAGGGGGGGAATGGTATTTCAAAGTCAATTCATAGGATACAGGGACCCCATGAAGCATGTGAGAGAAAGAAAGGTAGAAAGTAAAAACATCATCAGCATGCTAGAAGGCGACAGTTATATCCTTTGTTCAAGGCAAAAATTCATGTTTTATATAAAATGCTTTCAGGACCAATAAATGTTTGACAAAGTGGAATGTCATAAAAACATCCACTGTTATTTCCACTACTTCTTGGCGGTAGTAGGAAATGTGCTGATCTAACCAAGAAATATTTATTGGCACCTACTATGTGCCAGGCCTTGTGCTAGATGCTGGGGTTACAGTGGTGAACAAGATCCATGGAGCCTGCCCTACAGAGGTGGCATGCTGCCAGGGAAGATGAATTGAAGAATTTCAGTGAGGCGCATCCAGTGCCAAGAGTGGGGACATGCCAAGTACTGTGGGGTCTGAAGCAAGGCCACTTGGCCAACTGGAGCAGGTCTGGCAAACTCTTGGGAGGAATTGACTGCCACCTGATGGATGAGTTGACATTTGCTAGTTTTGAAGGACAGGAGGGAGCAAGAAGGAATGATACAAACCAAGGGAAGAGTATCCGGGGAGGTCTGAAGGGAAGTGAGAGCTGGGCAAGTGTGAGGAATGAAGGAAGCACGGCGTGGACAGAGCGGAACTGGCGAGGAATGAGGCTAGAGATAATACCAGCTTCTCTGAGGCCTTGCAAGGGTATTACTAAGGAGTTGGGACTTTGTCCTACAGGCTATGGGGCACTGCTGTGATCCCTGGCATTTGGGAAGGACCCCTTGGTGGTCATGTGGAGAAAGGATTGGAGAGAGTGAGCCTGGATGCAGGATGCACCTGGAGAGCAGGTGATATGATGGGCTGGACCACGATGCTGGCGGTGGGGGTGAAGGGAAAGGGATGGATTCTGCCCCTCATGGAAACCAAAAATCCATTCAGAAATGGGGCAAGGACTCCCTAAAGGTGCCTGCTCAC